AGGTATACACAAAGATATTTTTTCCACATCCAATAATGTAATAGCTATTGGTAAATACAACAAATGAGATTTGTTCATAGAAAAACACTCTCACACTTTTGCGGTATAAACTTTTTGATGTATAAATATTTTGTTGTCCAAATACTTAATTTATAAATCTATATATAACTTTTCTTCTTCTTTCTCTTCGTTACTTCAATCACTCTTACCTATTTCCAAATTTTCTCTGATTTCTCTCATTTCAATACACAGTACTTTCACTTTCTAATCCCGTTCTCGTCACTGATTTTTGTTGAAACTTTCGTCACCGATTTTATATAGTTATCACTTCATTTCATGAATTGTTTCAATATATTTTTAATCTTCGATTGCTTTTATCTTACAGGGATATTCGTTTATCAAAGATGGAAACCTAGGGTTCTCCCTTTTATTATTTCTTCCACACTTATTATTTGTTATATTTACTTCAGTTTGATTCTTCCACACTTTGTTTTTCCTTTATAGGATGTCCCCGATGGTGACTGATTTTGTCCATCATGTGTTTGCAGGATTTATGGCCAAAGAAAATTCAACCGAGACTGTGACTGATAATGAGGGCAGTTCAGGGTGCTCTTATTGTTGCTTCAACTCTTCAAATAGTACTAGGCTTTAGTGGCCTTTGGCATAATGTTGCAAGGTTGGTCTCACATTCTTACTAAGTGGCATTGTAGTTTCAGTAAAATTCCTTTTCATATCTCTCTATACGCATTGAAAATGTAACCGAAGTGTAGCCAGGTTTAAGAATATCTTGGACATGTATGTTTATTTGACCTTTCACTACCAAGCAAATTTTGTTTTTGGTTCGAGTGTTTGTGCTATTAGATTTGGGTCTGCCAAATGTTCTCATATGATACAAGTTTGATTTTTTTGTGCAGGTTCTTAAGTCCACTTTCAGCTGTTCCATTAGTTTCACTTGTTGGTTTTGGGTTGTACGAGTTAGGTTTTTCTGGGGTAAGCTTTCTATTTACCACTGTAATTGTGTCATGCAGTATGTGCCCCACATGTTACATTCAGGGAAAAATATCTTTAATCCTTTTGTTGTTTTATTTACCGTTGTAATTGTGTGGATATATCACTATTGGAGGGGCCTATAATGGTGCTGCACCAAAAACACAGTTGTCCTGCCGCACTGATTGTGCTGGACTTATAGATGCCATTAACAGCATTTTGTCTATTGCAACTCAAGATATTGGCTTTATTAGCGGGAATCTACTTTCTAGGCTTAGTTTGTCAGCTGAAACTTATTGAGAAGAATGTCTCTTGTATTCTGATTTTGCATTTCAATGGGGAGCACCTACATTTGATGCAGGAAAAGCGTTTGCCTTGATGATGGCATCTTTTGTTGCTTTTGTAGAGGTAACTTCTTAAGATATTCTCTTTAATTGGTATACGATCTGGTTTCTGTTTAATATTTATTCTTGTAGAAATTATCTTCTTAAATTGTATTTTCTGTTATAATTGTACTGCTTATTCTTTCATTTACTACGATTCTTAAAAAGGAAACATCATAGGATAATGTATGCATTTGCATTCATGATTTGTAGGTGCTGGGAGTCTTAGTTTTCTTCAGTTCTGCAACCTTAACAGTTTTAGAACAAAGTTCATATTAGGCTTCTCCATATTATTGGGCCTGTCTATACCACAGTACTTCAACGAGTATACAGCAATTAACTGTTTCGGTCCAGTCCTCACCGGCGAAAGATGGGCATGTATAACGTCTATATAACATCATAACTATTTTACACTGACAGTATATCAAACATAAACTCATTATTTTTTTTCATGTACATGACAGTTCAACGATATAATCAATGTTCTGTTTCAATCAAAAGCATTTGTAGCTGGCGTTGTGGCGTATTTCCTAGACAACACTTTACATAAGAATGATTCGTCTATTAGAAAGGACAGATGAAAACATTGGTGGGGCAAGTACAAGTCATTCAAGGGTGACAAGAACTGAAGAGTTCTATTCACTGCCTTTCAATCTGAACAAATAATTTCCATCTGTTTAAATGTGCAGCAAAAAGAGATTAATGATAAGGAGGATTTATCCTCAAGAGATATATAAGTTCTAATATCAGATTTAATATATATATATATATATATATATATATATATATATATATATATATATATATATATATATATATATATATATATATATATATATATATATATATATATATATATTAGTTTTATTTGCTTTTAAATTTAAACTTAGACAATTCATGTCATGACTCTGATGGTTTTGTTCAGTTTGGAAGTATACATTTCAAGCTGTGTATAAAATAATATGCATCTTCTCTATTCTCCATTCACTTGCAGGTACTGTTATCAGAGAGGAGGTTGGCCTTACCTTGGACAAAGCTGTGGTGACTTGCATGCTGACACTATGAAAGAAATTGCTAAGTCTGAATTGTAAGAATCTAGAAAATAAAACATAAAAGTTGGATTGTAAAATTTTAAAAGTATATGATATATTTTTTTTTGTAAGTAGTACGTAATATGAATTTTAGTTTTGTCATATGGTTGGTTGAAAATGTATTGTAAAATATTTTTAATGAATAATTATATTTTAATAATAATATTAAAAAAAAATTAAAATTTATTGCATTTTAAAAAATAAAAATTATATTTATAAAATAAAATTTTAAAATAAAAGTATTATTTATATAAGTTTTAGTGACACCTACAAAGCCGTTGATATAAATTTTAGTGCTTATAACTCGGCAGTAATAGTAATTGTAGGTAAAATTTTATTCGTAATTAAAGTTACAGTGACATTTAATTTAGCGTCACACTGTTTCACATACTTTTATCTACAAATATTTGACTATTAGTGACATACAATGAGTGTCATGGAAGGTCAATTTTCTTATAGTTGATTTAGATTAGTATAGTGGTCGTGCATGTTGTAGAATAGAGGTTTACGCTTATAAATGCATGATAAGATTTGGTGTTTTTAATTGGTACTATGAAAGTGTTGTATCTTGTGAGTTGTATGAGATCGTGATTGTGCTTAGATAGAGCTGGAGGCTAGGGATGATTATAGTTGGTTTGAAGATGGAATTCTCGTGAGAAACTGTTGTTTTTTTCTTCTAGATTACAGACTACATGAATAGATTTAGAGGGGTTTTGAATCGATTCAGGTTTTTTTTTTAGTTTTGAATTAGATCACGACCCTTTTGAATCGATTCAAGATTGATGTTTTTGAATTTTGTCTGTGAGAACCAAATTCACGAAGGTTCATGAATTGATTCACGACCCCCAAATTAACAAAAATAAACCTTAATTTTTCATGTTCTAAGCTTTATTTTGAGATAGTTAATTATGATTGACCTTAATGGAGTGATCATAGTCAAAGATTTCATTAGGATTAGACTTAGAACAAGGTGATGTAAGTGTAGAAAATGAATGATCAGAAAGTACATAGGTGCAAGTATTACTTATGAATTACCATTGAATTTTTTTTAGCAAAGAGGACACTAGACCTAATTGACAAGAGCCCTTACCATAATATATGTGATTTTAGGTGCAAGTATTACTTATGAATTACCATTGAATTTTTTTTTTTAGCAACGAGAACACTAGGAGACCTAATTGACAAGAGCCCTTACCATAATATATGTGATTTAAAGGTTTGTACCTTAGAGATGTTGATCAATGCAGTTTATGTAAGAATGGTTTCTATATTATGGTTGATATAATATATGGATGGAGAAGATACTGGAATATCTTTTGTAAGTTGACATTCGATTTATTGAAGTGAGTGACTGGAGATTTCTCATGCAACTGTTCGATCCTAATCCCAAACAACAAATTATTTTGGAAGTTTAATTGGAGGATGTGTTTTCTTTATCTTGGTAACCTAACTAGAGGATATGTGAGTTATCCCGACGATTCTAGTAGATAAGTATGTTGAAGGTGAGAAAAACACACAAGAAGGGGGTTGAATTGTGTATGTCAAAGCTTACTTCTTTTTGTAATCTACCTAATTAGAAGAGTTTGGATTCCGAGTCAAGAAGAACTACGTTAGACTAGAGTTTGACTTCAGAGTTTAGTGCACAACGAAATAAATAAATGCAGAAGTAAATAAAATGACATATACTATATCTTGGTCCCTCTCAAACTGAGAGTAGTTCAGTCCCCTTGCAACATAAGAGATTTTCACTATAATCATTCAAATTACAATTTGCTCAATCACACTTGAAAGAGACTTCCTTTCCCGAACCAAATGTTCAAGACTTCTTGCTCAATCAAACTAGAAAGAGACTTCCTTCCCAAACCAACTATTCAGGACTTCTTACTCAATCAAACTAGAAATAGACTTCATTGTTCAATCCTCTAGATCGAGACTTTCTGCTCAAGCCCTCAAGCAAGAGACTTCCTTGCTCAATCCTCAGATTGATATTTCCTGCTCAAGCCCTCAAGCAAGAGACTTTCTTGCTCAATCCTCAGGTCGAGACTTCATGCTCAAGTCCTCAAACAAGAGAGTTCCTTGCTCAATCCCTCAAGCAAGAGACTTCTTCTCCTAAACCTGCATTTCATGACTTCCTGCTCAATCACAATTGAAAGGGACTTTTTCTTAAGCATGAATTCTAGAGACTCCAGATTCTTTTAACAAGAGTCTGTTATTAACCTTTGTGTTTATATATGTGCTTCTTAGTTAAGCAGATACACAAAGGTTTTACATTTTGAGCAAGATATAGATTATGTAGCTCCTAAGTGTATAAGAATGAAATCTTTATCATTTCTCTTCTTTTTCTGCATAGATGATCTTCATTTGTTGTGCCTTACTATTATGTTGATCTGTTTGATCATATTCACATATTATTTCTTTTGACTCTCCTAGTCATATGTGAATATGTCAGACTCTGCTTTCTTTTCTCTTAACACACATTAACCCTTCGGGTTAGATTTCTTATTCTTTTGTGTGTTTCTCTCATTTGTGTTTTTGGGAAATGCAGTTCTTTACTCAACCCTCATCATGTGTTATGGTATCACATTCTTGTGAAATCATTCATACACACACAATATATTATTTTTCAATCTTCTTCTTCTTTTATAGATTCTGAAATTAGATTCATTAAAGATTGAGACTTCCCATACTACAGATAACCGTTAAAGGTTGAAACTACCCATAATACAAGTACCTGTTGAAGGTCTTTAGCTAGAACACGTAAAGTGAAGTTTAAACTCAGTTAGCATAAAGACGTTGAGATGAGCAGAGTAGAGTTTACAGAACAACTGAAGAGACAGAATCCTGACAATGTTACTTTCTTGATTAAACATAAAATAGTTGTACGTTGTCACGAGATGTTTTTGAGATAACTTTTGAGTGAAGACTTCTTGTAGATGTTTGTTGAAGCTTGAATAGAGTCATTTTTATCTATTATACTTAACTTCATGAATCAGAGGCTTCTTATAGAATTAGTTAAAGTTTGATCAGAAGTTAGAGTATTTCTTTAGAACCTAGTTAAAATGAGATTACAAAGTCTTGAGTTTATAAATTCTGAGCTTTCCTTTATCAGTCCTGATCAGAACTAATCTGGATGAATACTTTTAGATTTGTTGACTTGATATAGACAATAATCCTTTAAAGCAGAGACTTTAGAACTATTGATGAAGCTTGTTCAGAAGTTGTAGAGTCATTCCTTATGACAGTGTCTGCTTGCTTCAAATGATTCCAGTCTTCAGACATTATTGGTCTTTAGAATTCCCAGTAAGCTTCAGTACATCATCTGAGAGACTTGAGTTTGACTTCTTAAGAGTATGAAAGCTTGGTTCTAGTCCTTCAGATTCAGAACAACTTTGTATCACACTTAATGATTCTTCTAAGTGACTATCTTGATTTATATCAAGGTTAATGTCTTTTGATCCCCTGCACAGTTGAACAACCATTAGTAAAACCCTATTTCTATTTAAATACATTGTTATCATTAAAATATTTCAAGGGTCTGAACAAATCTTGTTCCAAAAATCTCCCCTTTTTGATGACGACAAACACATGTATTTAAGAACAATGGTTGATGATTTAATTAACACGGTCTAGCATAAGAGTTTGAGGTTCGTAAGCTCCCCCTAAGTTAGAAAATCATTAATGTGATGTTTGTAAGCTCCCCTTAAGTTTGATAGTTCATTAAGGTAAGCTTTGTAAGATTTCCTTAACTCCTTATCATTGTTAACTTAATCTTATAACTTAATTAACGTAGTATAACATCAGGGTATGGATTTGTAAGCTTCCCCTAAGTTAAACAGTCCATTAAGGTGAGATTTTTAAGCTCTCCTTAAGTCCTTTCTTAGTTAATTAAGTTTATCATTAAGTTCAAAACAATTAAAGTTATTCAGTATTTAAAGAACTCAAAATCTTCTAGGAGTTCAGGTTTCAGATGCATTCCAATTGCATTAATCTCTCCTTAAACACTTCATGCACTCTTCTTAAATATATCATGTCATTTTCTCCCCCTTTGTCATCAATAAAAAGATGAAAATACCAACTGAAGGTTAAAAGAAATACCGACTGAGAGAGAAAAAAGCTTAAATGTACTTCCCCTTTTTAAAAAAAAGATTTTTTTTTTAAAAGAATCGTTGAATTACATTCATTTTTAAAGAAGGAAAAACAATTTTAAAGGATTAAGACAATTAAAATCTTTTTAACAAAAGAAGAGGAAAAACAAAGAGATTGAGAGATTTTTTGCTTCTTATTGTAATAAATTATTACATTCAGTTTTCAAAAAGTAATTATGATTTAGTATTGCATGCTTAATAGGTAATTGGCTCGAGAATTTCAAAGATCAGAAACCGAGAATTACAAGGTGATTGATCTTTCAATATTTTCCTATGAAAGCATAAAATTCTTTTAAGCCAAAATCATAAATCCTCATCTTTTCATCATACATCTGGTTTAGGATGAATGCTACTTCTGAACATTTACTACTCTCAGAGACTTTCATAGTCTCTAAGGAAACTTCTCATCAGATGGTCAAACCTTCTAAAGAAATTTCTTCAAACTTTCTTCCTCAGACATTGAAGCCAAAGAAGAAGATCAGTAAAAAGAAAATGAAGTCCAACAGAAGAAGAAAACTAAGATAATTAATTCAGTTTGATTTAGATGAAGAAGGAGAATTGGAATTAGATTGGGGAAACTTTTTCCATGTTTTGAAATCTAGGGATGATTAGGATAATGTAATGAACATATTTTTGTAATCATTCCTTTAATTCAATCAAGTTTCTCCATTTTCCAATTTTTTGCATACCTTACTTTTAATCATAACTATTTCATTTAATGTAAACTGATTAAGAAGTTCAGAATCCAGAAAAATAAGATGCTTTAATCTTAATAGAGAAGGTTTAGTGAAAGAAATGAAAATGAAAATCTTTTTAAAAATACATAGGAGGAAGATCTTCTGCAAATATCAGCAACCAACCAAGACATGTTTCAGGACATGAAATGATATGACATGAGAGAGAGGTTGCAAAAGATTTTAGGAGATAACCATCATTACTTTAAAGATTCTGCATATACAGTTGTAGGGCATGCATGAATGATTTTCAAACCAGTGAGTTCTTAAGTGAGGTATATGTAAAAAGGTTTTTCACTTAAGTTCTATTTAAAAATCTTTATTCCTTATCTGAGTCTCCATTTGACTTAAGACCATTCTTCTAATGATATTATTTTTTAATAAGATACATATCTATGGTCACATACTGGACTAGTTGTGAACAATCAAAATTCCACTTTGGTAACTTCTGAATATTCTTTGTTGAACAGCAAGCACACTTCTTTCTTATCATCACAATCTTCGTCAGATTATATAGTGTCTATAGACTGAGTTGAAAACAATTGTCTGTTTATAAGACACCATTTGATGATATAATCCACAAGATAAATGGTCATTCTAAAAGCTCAACTTTCCTTGACCATGATACATGTTGTTACCATTTAACTTAGTTTATGAATCCTTGACACTTGGATCCATAAGTCTTTGGTTTAGGTATCCTTTCAACCTTTGATTCAGAGATCTTAAGTTCTGGATTCCTTTCATCTTTAGACCCAAACACTATGTCATATTTCTTGAGAGGCTACTACATTGAAATCTCAGGTTCTGTTTTAATCAAAACCTTTGACTTCTTTTATTCTGGTGGATTTAGAATCTTTCTACTTTCAGCTGTTTATACGTCAATGTCTTCTTCTTTGAGCTTGCTTTATGCAAGGAAGAAAGCTTTTATTATGTCAAAACTTAATACAAATAAATTTTGAAGAGTCGCTTCGTGCATACTCAAAGGTTCATCAGACACCTTTCTATTTTGAGTAGCAATACTTCATTCACAACTTCATATGAGCCAGATTCTTACTCAGTTTCAGAATGTCATCCATTAGCGCAAGATTGACTTTTTCAGAATTCCCGTCTAAGTCTTCTTTTAAACATGAGAAGTTGTTTGCAAGATATTTTGCTGTTGACTTTGAGTCACGCTGCAGGAGTGTTCAATCTCATTTTCCCTTATTCAAGAAGCGGACCAAGATTAAGCCTTGATTTATTCAATAATAACATTTGTCCTACGGGCCAATCTTAAGGATTAAAATTCTTTCATACTCACAAAAAAAATCTTAGAGTAGAAACAAGTTTCTTGATCTAAAGAGACTTGAATGAACCTTGTTTTGTTGGTTATCCAAATAATCCTTCAAGTCATATGCTTATGTTTAAGTAATCATTACTAAATTAGCATGAATTTCTTCAACCCATCTTTCTTTAGCTTCTGTAGTTTCCATTTTTGACTGATGAGGGAAATTTCATTGAAATCTAACACACATACTAAATAGTCTTTCTCACCAGATCTCTTGAATATACCGCTGTTAAGTGTTATGCACAACCAGACTCTGATGGGGGGGGGGGGGGGGGGGGGGGGGGGGGGGTGGGTGGGGTGAATTGTGTATATCAAAGTTTACTTATTTTTGCAATCTTAATTTAGAACCTAATTAGAAGAAGTCAGATTCTGAGTCAAGAAGAACTATGTTAGACCAAAGTCTGACTTCAGAGTTCAGTGCACATTGGAATAAATAAATGCAGAAGTAAATAAAGTGACACATGATATATTTTGGTTCATCTAATAAGTTTTGTTAGGAAATATCTTTTGTGAGTGATGTGTTCTTATGATTCTGGATAGGTAGCATTGTATAAGTTCTCCAAGAATGTTGTTTATGCATATTGGATAAATACAATCCATTTGGGGATAAAAATATATAGTTAGAAGCTAAACCCGTTAAAATATTTGGTTGAGAATTATGTGATCAATTCCTATTTTTATTTAGGTAGAAGATCGTTAATATTGATGAACTTCCCTTAGGCTCTTAGCAAGCCTTGTTTGAAAGGTTAAAGATTATCAATATTGATGAACTTCCCATTGGTTCATGGTTAGTATGATTTTGTGAGGAAAGATCTTTTGTGAGTGATGTGTTCTTGTAATTCTTGATGGATAGCATTATATAAGTTCTCCAAGAATGTTGTTTATGAATCTTGGATGAATACAATCCATTTAGGGATAAAAATATGTGATTTGAAGCTAAACACATCGAAAGCTTTGGTTGGGAATTGTCTGATTAGTTCCTATATTTATTTAGGTTGAAGATATTTAATAATGATGAACTTCCCATAGGCTCTTAGCAAGCCTTGTTTGAAGGTTGAAAATTATAAATATTGATGAACTTACCATTGGTTTATAGTTATCCTGTTTAAAACCATAGGTTAGAAGATCAACATGTTAAAATCTCAAGAGGTTATTTGTTATCCTATTAAATCAAATTGAGCTCAATTATCTTTGTGGAGAGAAGACTAATCGCTTCAATCTACAGTTGGGAAGGAAGCCTGGCCACTTCAGTCTTAATAATTTCAATGGAGAAGACACAAACAATCATATCTTCTGTCTTATAATATTTTGATTGTAGGACAATCATAATTTCCTTATATAAGGGGGTTCGTGAGCTTTACCTACTAAAAACTCTCAAGTATATAATGGAAACTCTCAAGATAAATTCTTAGGGAGAGAAGTAGGTCGCTTTTATTATGACTGAACCTTTATAACTCTCAGTGTTTTTCTTCTTCTCTTAAACTCTATAAATTATGCATTTTATTTCAATATTTATTTTCAACCTGTAGATAACTATAGATGAAAAGGATGCTAACACCTTTCCTTTTCATAATCTACCTCCCAAACTCAAAAATCTCGAAGGTGTTTCCTGTTCTTTTCACCCTTTCCTTATTGTATAAAAGAAAAGTCAGCGGCGACTCTTGTTATCCGCACATTTGCGATAAAATGTAAAACCAAGTCAGTTCTCCCACCATATTAGATCCCCCCTTAATGCTAAGTTGTTCATCTCCTCATCGAGAGGGCTTCAGTTTGTCTAGAGGGATCTCTAATTTCGACGGGGAAAACAACCTCGATTCCATATGCTAGTTACAAAGGAGTTTCCCCGGTGGATGAGTGAGCTGTCATCTGATAGGCCCAGAGCACACTGTGTAGTTCCTCGATCCATCTCGTTTTGGTTTCATCTAACCTTCACCTGAGGCCTCTTAGGATCACCCTATTCCTAGACTCAGCTTGCCTGTTAGTTTACGGGTGCTCGACAGAAGCAAAGTGTTGAATGGTGCCTAACTTGGCAAAAAATTCTTGGAAATTCTTGTCTGTGAATTGTGTCCCATTGTCGGAGACAATTTCTAGGGGATGCCGAACTAGGAAAGAATGTTTCTTTTGTAGAAATAAAGAATATTTTCCGCGGTGATTCTGGCCAGCGCTTCTACTTCTATCGATTTTGTGAAGTAATTCACGACTACTATCAGGTATTTGTTTTGGTTTGATCTCACCATGAATGGTCTGAGGATGTTCAGGCCCCAACATGCGAAGGGCCAGAGAGATGAGATAGACTCAAGCTAGTTTAGAGGCACTAAGTGCATGTCCCTATGGTATTGGAATTTGTCACACTTTTCACGTGCTATTTGACATCATACTACATTGAAGACCAGTAGTATCTTGCCCGTAATGATTTTCTAGAAAGGGATTTCCCGCCCAGGTGTTGGTCGTTGATTCCCTCGTGTATTTCACGTTGGATGTGGGCTATTTTGTTTTCTTCGACACATTTAAGGAGGGGGTGGAGAATCCCCTTCTATACAATCTGCCTTCGACCAGAACGTAGGAACAGGCTCTTCGCCTGACTATGTTGGCCTCCTTCTGATCGATCGGAAGTTCCCCTTTCGTAAGGTAGTTATATACCAAGGACATCCAACAATTATTGTCATTAATTGTGCACACGTCTAGAGTCGAGGGAGTTTTTCAATGCTCGGTCGAGGAAGTATTTCTTGTATTACTGATTTATTTCCTCCTTTATTCTTTGTGCTTTCCAATTTTGACAGGATATTTGCCCTAGTGTTGTGTTCGCGGGGAACGTGTCGTACATTCACGGACTTGAATTTCTTCATTCTTTCTTGGACCAAAGCCCAGTATTCGGAGAGATGGTCTTTTTTGACATGATATTCTCCCTGCACTTGAGATGAAACGAGTTGGGAATCTGTGAAGATTTTCACTTCTTCGGCCCCTAAATCTTCAGCCAGGCGTAGCTCTGCTAGGAATTCTTCTTATCCAGCTTGGTTGTTTAAGGTCGAAAAAGATAGTGTGAAGGAGACTTTAATCAAGATTCCTTCCTTGTTCTCCAGTATAATCCCCACCCCTCTCCCTGTCTAACTAGAAGCCCCATTGACGAAGATGGTCCAACTGCGCTCTCCGCTTGTCGAGGAGGTTGACAAGGTCTTTTTGCCACGAAGTCGGCCAATACCCGAGCTTTGAGGGATTTTCTGCTTTCGTATTGATGTCAAACTCAGAGAGTTCTAACGACTATTTGAGCATCCTGCACGCCATGTCTGGTCAACTGAGTAGTTGCTTTATTGGTTGCTCTGCCCAGACTACAAACGTGTGTGCCAGGAAATAATGTCTTAGCCTTATTTCCGTGTTAATAAGCGATAAGGCTACTTTCTCGATTTGTTGATACCTTACTTCAGGGTCTTGTAAGGCCTTGCTCGTGAAATAGATGGGTTTATGCCCCT